AAATAGATGACAGTAGGATAATCTACCATCACGGCCGGCACGCCCTATCTCCTGCAATAAGTGTACTATTAATCTATATAGAATGTTCATAACATACATGACATATTAGAAAATGAACAATACTAGAAGAAGCTACCGACTTGAATATATTCCTCCAAGCTCTCCGGCATGCTATAATGGATTACCTGAAACAATGTAACTTTACTTTTTTACTGTTTAGATATCATCGTTCATATAGTACAAATATTCCAAAACCAATAAAAGCTAAATTTGTGCCTGGGACATTTATCTAATGTACAATGTGGTCCATCTAAGTGATTTCACGTTATTGTAATCCTCCACAGCTAACTATTTATTACATTACATGCACAAGGATGTGGCATTGATGCATTCAACTGACTTCAAAATCAGATCAAGCACTCCTTTTTGGTACAAATAAAAAATCAAGCACATGCTTTTTTAAAAAAAAATCTGACATTCCTGACATGAAGCATCTTTAGAGAGATGAGCGGATCCAATACAGAAAGATGTTCATACTACTCTTTCATTGCTAGTCAACCACTTCAATACATCAGGAATATCCTCACACAAATAAGGAATAAAACAATTTGAAAATGCTCTCTAGATTCTTACAGCGCCAACGTCCCTCTTGTTAAGTCCCATGCCAAAAGCCACAGTAGCAACAACCTTTAGAAAAAGTGTCAGTCAATGCATTGAGAGAGGAAATAATTATTCATAACATTTATATGCATACATTCACACAAATAATAGAAGAATATGGTATCTCACCGCTCTAATCTTGTTTGAACAAAAATTCTCCTGTATGTGTTTGCGATCTTTAGCAGGAAGACCACTGTGATAACTCTAATTAACAAAATAGGAAGCAACCTATCAGATTTACTTTTCAAATTTCCCCCAAAAAGGTAATAGTAGTTGTTATTCATAACTAGCTAAGATGCAGAAGTAACCTTTGCGGAGATGCCATTATCACACAAGTATCTGCTTACCGAGTCAGTTTCCAACTGCAGCATCAGAGCAGAGAAGCAGTCATGGCTAACTAAAAGTTACAAAATTTATCTAGACAATTAATGAAAATTGAGAAACACTATCAGGTCACTGTGCAAAATGACGAACAAACAACTACAGATCAGCTAAGGGTTCAACCAAACTTTCCTCTGCAAAAATACTTAATTACGTAGGAACGAAACAGTTCAAAGTTAATGACAAAATTGGCCCATTCAGAAAATGAAATAAATGGGAAAAGACATAATAATGTTAATTTGAGCGTTTCATTCCACACTCACTCAAAAGACAGCTACAGACCTAGAGGGTGAGCTTAAGCTGCATTCAAACTTCTATGTATTATGATAATAAATTACTGACAGAAACAAACCTGAAACTTGCAGTAGATAATAATGCTCCGAACTTCGGCTATGGGAGAAGACTTGATTAGCTTAAGTAGATCTTTCACTCTTATTTTCAGCACATCACCAAATCAAATTGAAACATTGGAAGTGTTAATTAAAAGGATCCATACGATAAAATAAAAGTGGTTAAGAAGGAGAAAAATCAACTCCCAAGATTTAATACTTGCCTGTTTGTACTCATTGATACTGATAATTGTAGATTTGTCCTAACTGTAGTCTTCAGAACGAGATTATCTGAAGGAATTTCTAATGAAGTCATAATTGCTTGCATAGTTGAAGTAGTTGCCGTTGCAGTCATTGCAAGAATGCAGTTAATGTTGAGTTGAGCTCGAAGTAGAGATGCTCTAAGCCTCATATATGAAGGTCGAAAATTGTGTGACCTGGTCATATCAAATTGAATAACTTAGACTAGTTCATTCATGCCATAGCAAATGCTGAAAGCCAGAGGTCTCATAAGTGGAGTGTCTAAATAAGAAAATGATGCCGATCACGGTTCAAATAGGGAATCAACTTGCCATTCAGATATGCAGTGAGCTTCATCCACCACAAGAAGAGATACCACTAAGCCGCTAGAAAACATTGACAGAAAATCTGGGTTCTGAAACCTTTCAGGTGAAACAAAGAGCACCTGAAAATACATATAAGAACTTAACCACGCCATGACTGATGACATTCCAACTATAAAGGATTCTTGGGAGGGAGTCCCACGTTGGCTAATTTAGGGAATGATCATGGGTTTATAAGTAAGGAATACATCTCCATTGGTACGAGGCCTTTTGGGGAAACCCAAAGCAAAGTCACGAGAGCTTATGCTCAAAGTGGACAATATCATACCATTGTGGAGAGTCGTGATTTCTAACACTCATCCAAATAATACTTGTAACATTTAAATGCAAGATAACGAATCAATGCAGTTGTTCTCACGATAATGTTTTGCAATAGAGAGAGAAAAGGATGTGAATTTTCCCATTAATGTACCTTCATTGACCCTTGGATAAGCAGCCTCACTATTTCAGATACTTCATCAGGTCTCTACAAATACAAAGGAATGATCAAGTAAATTTTCTCACTCTTTCACACTGTCATCATACAAAAGCAAAAACGTTTAAAAAGCTTGATAGAGAAATAGAGCAGCGACTACCTGACTGCTGCATAATAAACCACCCTGAATTACAGGCGGCAATTGTTTTATCTGATCTATCATTAATGCCACCAAAGGACTAACAACAACGGTGATCCCAGGTAGAACCATTGCCGATATTTGATAACAAATTGATTTACCGGCACCAGTGGGCAGAACAACCATCGTTGATTTCCCGGCCAGCACCATTTTGATAGTCTCTAACTGCCCTTCTTGGAAAGAATCGTATCCATAAGCTAACTTCAACAACTGTACCAAGTTATCATCAGATGGGTCATTTCGCACATTGGATAAAGTCTCTTCAATAGAAACGGGATCAAATTTCGCTCCTCCATTGCCCTGCTTCTGTGGATGTTGCGTTGTTTCTGTAACCAAACCATCTTCATCGCAGAAACTAGCCGTCTCGTGGCAATCTTCATTGTTCAAGTTCATCTTAGTCCTTCTATGGGACCGATAACTACTCCGCTCGCCATACTTTCTCCGGTTGAATTTCTTAGTAAACTTTCGCTTCCTACCATTCAAGTTAAGTTTCACAAAGTTGCCTTCGCCTCCACATTTGCGCACTTTGACTGGCGGAGCAGGAACGTGGGCTCCAATCAAGTTAGGATATTTCCTAACGAGTTTCACCGGATTCCCGGGAATAAACGAATTATCTTTTGACCCCCAATCAGCCATTGAACAACCAGCGACCTCAGTTTCAACATTGTTCTGCTGGCTCAGCTCCGATAAAGGCCGATTATCCTCGGAAGTCTCAAAATTAAGACAGGATCCACGGAATTTCAAGAACGATGACGACTTTGAAAAGAACCCGGCTGGAAGCATCTCGATAGATTCGGAGGACGAAACTCCACGACTCTGATCCGAAGCCCGACGGATTTGATATGGCAGAGTTGGAAGGGGAGTCCAGTCGGGAAGCGATTCTTCCTCGGAGGGTTTCGTATCAGGCGGTGGAGACGGTTTAGCAACTCTGGAGGAGTGTTTTCCAGGTTTCGACCTGGTACGTGCCAGAGAAGAAGTGGCTTTACTGAACTTACACTTGGCATTGAAAGCTGACGTGAACGGAGTAACTGAAGAAGACGGCGGCGGCGGCGGATTTGAATCTCTGGGAGGAGTGGCGGAGATGTGAGAAGCATCTGAATCTGAGTCTGAATCGGAATTCATGTCGGGTAATGGCGACGGAAAATTGGAGGGAGAGCAACGGATGAAGAAGTGTCGAAGGTTTCCTAGCTTGCCCGATATCAGTTTTCCCGCCAAATGCTATTGTATCTTCATTGGGCCGGCCCACCTTTTCGTGCTTCAACTTCGGGCCCAGGCCCACCTTTTCGTTGCTTCAACTTCGGGCCCAGGCCCACTATGGTTTAAAAAAACACAAAGAGATCATTTTTGGGATAACCATACAAGTATTTCAAATGATGCAAGTTTCTTAAATTTTTTTTATTTTTTTTATTTTTTTTATTGTTCTAGCGTTCTTTTAAATTTTATAGATCTAGTAGAGTATTTTTTAGACATAAAATTCAATAATATAACGAATAAATGTTGTTTCAAGATTATCTCACTCGTCCATGACAATCCCGTCATCTTCATGGCCATCAAGCCCCCAACGTGGGCGATTTCGCCACTTTGAACACTAGTGCCTTGTTCTTAAGTGCAACGTATAGCTTATTTCTCGATGGATCTTTTTCATTACGTACCGTTTTATCCACGTAACTTCATTTACGTCTTCACAATTTGTCAAATTGAATTCGATACAGACCTTTTTGGACTTTTCCTTACGGGCTTCCTCTCAAGACTTTAAAACGCGTCTACTAGGAGAAGGTTTCCACACCCTTATAAAGAGTGTTTTGTTCTCTTCTCCAACCAATGTGGGACATCACAATCCACCCCATTCGAAGCCTAGCGTCCTCGCTGGCACTCATTCCTTTCTCTAACCGATGTGGGACCCCACCAAATCACCCCCTTTGGGGCTCAACGTCCTTACTGGCACACCACCTCGTGTCTACCCCTTTCGGAGAACAACGAAAGGGTTGGCACATCGTCCGGTGTCTGGCTCTGATACTATTTGTAACGACCCAAGCCCACCACTTACAAATATTGTCCTCTTTGGACTTTTCTTTACGGGCTTCTCCTCAAAGCTTTAAACGTCTGCTAGGGAAGGTTTCCACACCCTAAGAGTGTTTTTCCACTAAAAAACTTACAAAAGGGTAGCAGCCTGCACTAAGTTTCAGGACTCTGTGCCTTGTGGCTCCTTATTTCAATACGTTTTACAGCATTCTAAGAGGGGGCAAGATGGGAGAATTTTATGTTGGCAGTGCGGGTGAGCTGGGAATCAATTGGACTTCAAGGATGGGTGTAATTGGAACTGCCATTTTTGTTTGTATCAGTGTAGAAAGCATGGGATAGCAATGTGAATATATTTTAGATGGGAAGGTGGATGATTTCTAGTAATGACTCTAATTCTTTCAAAGTTTTGTCTTTCTTTCTCTATCTTTTAGTATTACAATTCCAACACGAGCAAACATACAGATTTACGATCTCTAAAATAGCTACTAAGCATGAAAAATACACGCTCTTCTCCCCTCTTTCACAACGAATTCTGATTCACAGTTTCTCTTGGCTATATGGTTCATCCGGGGGAGAGATCGAAAGAAACGATTGCTTAATTACAGTATTGATTTCGGACTCGAACCGAGATGCTCTAGCACTACTTCCTAAGAGCATATACTCTAGTGTGTATCTTAGTACAACCAATCGTAGTTTACCTGTAATTTAAGCGCCGTGTTGAAACTGAAACCGGGCGAGATTTGGCATGGCACAGAGCAGGTAAGTCGTTACGTCCACTGTTCATATGCTGACAACTGCAGCGTTTATCTTGTCAGGCGTACCGAAGTATTTAAGCTCTACAAAAGTACCTCCTCCTTCACCCTTGGCCAATCTTCCTGGATTCACACACACGCAGTTCGCTCGTTCTTCGTCCGCACGTCCCTCACCAAGAGATATAACCTGACAAAGTTAGGAAGTCATTGAAGCTCTTATTAATATGTACGTTTTATTTGCTTACAGGCAGGAATATGAGGTTGAGCTTCAGTCGTCGGTCTATGTTTACTTTCATCTTTAACGTAGTTCGACTAAAAATAAATCGATGTATGATAATAAAAAGGTAAAAATGACTGATACGTAAAATTAATGTGGACGACCACTTACCTTCACGAAGTGTTTCATGTCGGATGGAAGAATGAGAATATCGGGTATTACAGAGATGTCGAGAGCTTTTGGGGCAAGCGAAAAGTCAAGTGGCACTCCTTCGGCCGGGGGGTATAGAGGATAAAAGCTGTTGTGCATTGTCAACAATTGAAACAAGAGAACCGTAAGTAAGATAAACACAATATTAATACATTGGATTATCCATCCGACATTGTTATGGCTAACACAAGACATGCCTGCGCTGCCGGAGGATATGACTTGCAAGTGTGCTCAGACGGTCGTTGGCTGTTCCCTTTGTTAGATTTCTTGACAGCTCTTCTCCACTAAGGTGTCTGAGGATATCCATGGTGCAGCAGGCTATCTTTGCCTGAAATCCATTATCGACGGAAACATCAGAATTCATTCTGTATCAATATATATATCGGATATCACTTTTGTATGCTTGAAAATTTACAATTATTTCATTGTCGCGTGTTTGCAGTGATGAAGAAAACTAGGTAGTCTAGGTTTCAACAAATCAAGACGTCAATATTGAAGCATATTCCCCACTCTGGTGAAGGGGCGTTAGATTAGCTAAAACAAGCTTGAACAACAGAATTCACAGAAAATTATGACATGGTTTATTATTATTATTATTATTATTACTACTTAAGAATACTACATCATATGTGGGTGAGGGAATAGTGTATTTGTTCATAGTTCGGAACACTGTTACATTTCCCATCAATCTTTCTCCATCCAATTAAGACGATAGAATAAAAATCAAATTAAGTGCAGAAGGGAATTCATATAGCAAATCAAAAGGATTTTCCCATATGCATTGGGTTATTTTTCCCCTATCAGAATTCCAAAGAGAAGGGAAAGAATAGAGAAACGGACCCCATGGCCATTATACTAATTTTCAACAAAAATGTTCGAAAAGACTCTCCATTTCACCTTTTTAGATGAGAATAAAGTGCTAAGAAATTATCTCATGGTATAAACTTGGTAAGTGCATGTGCAGGATACCCTGAATGAATTCTTCATTTGTAAGAAATAGAATATCAATGGACTCTAAAAGCCAAGAGGGTCTTAGTTGGATCAATCTTTCTTTTACTTTTTTTTTGCTTTGTTAAATGTTTAATGTTTTTTGTTTCTACAATGGAGCATCCAGCTCTCATTTTTTCCTATCTTTCTTTCATTTTATAGTATTAAAACAGCCAGCTACTAATTGATAACCGGTGATTGAGAACTTTAAACTTCCAGTATAGGAAAGTCTTGATGAAAGCGATAAATTAATAGAAAGCTCATTTGGGAACTCAAAGATGTATCCATGTTTTACCTGATTTGCTTCCAAAATGCCTGGGTTCGGGAGACTAGATATCTGATCCAAAACCAAGGCAGTTCAACAGTAAGCATTACTCAAGATAATGAAACTCCATAAAATTTAGAGGAAACTCAAAGCACAAGAATAAATTACCTGAAGTCTAAGATCAGATGGAATGTCAAAAGCAGGCTGCAGAACAAGGTGATCTTTAATAATTTATTCATTTAAAAACTGATAGATCTGCCTCAACAATTTATACCTGAGGAAAAACAAAGTCGTGATTAGCATCCCTAATAGATGGCATCAAAAGTACACGTGCATCAGGACCCATGTGTTCTACATAATCTTGCACCTGAACAAAATGAAACCAAAATTAAAAGATAAAAAAAACATAAAAATTATTTCAAAGTCAAGTATACCATGTTAATTATTACCCTTCTGAGAACTTCAAAGTTGAAAATTTCCTCAAAGCTCATCTCTACCGTGCCTCTCTTGATATCCGAATGTTCAGAATCAACAAATGGCCCAAGCTAAAACAACATAAAATGTCAACGACAAGAAGTTCTATTGATAGCTTATTTCATAAAATCAAAAGAAACGAATGAGTATTTACCAATATTAGTAGCTGAGGAGGCTTTCTTTTTGCATATGCTAGTAACTCTGTCAAAGGCTCAAACAATATGTTGTCTGTCGTTGTATAGGGGCCTGATGCAATAATCTGTTTAACAATATTTCAAGTATGCATCAATAAACCTACTCAGCTCAGGAATATTAACCTGTTCCAATGTGATATTAACTAGAAAAATGCTACAAGAGTAGGGATACAATTTCGACTACTAAGAAAGGTGGCTGAAAAAACATCAGGAATATACAAGAACACACACCATTGATAATTCTGACTCTGTAGAAGGTTGATTAATTGGCTGGATATCATGGTCCAAAGTTATCTTCTTTGCTGGAGGAAGAATGGGATCGATAGTGGCAGACAAAGGAAATGAATCTACAAGTTTGGATGCTATCAAGCAGTGTCCACTAGGATTATGCCCTTCAATACCTACTACCTGTGCAAATTCAATTCTCCCAGGTAAGGTATAGTTTTTGGGTGATATTACAAGTAGTATAACATTGCATATTGTACCTGGCCAGGAAAGATTGAAAACTGGCTTAAGTTTTGTAATTCTAAACGAACCCACTGCCCCCCTGAGTGTTCAACACTAAATAAGAACAAACAAATCTTAAAGTTCAGTAGACAACATAACTACCAGAAATATTTTGTTTGTATTGTTTACTTCAAAAACAGAAACATTGGTGGTAATAGAAAAGCAGAGCACTTAGACAGCATGAAAATAAACAATATATAATTATACCTGCTTTGCAACATGGTGGACTTATCGTTCAAGTGTCCATCACCATCACAACAAATCATGCCTACTGCAAACATGCTTTTCTGACACAAGATCACACGTTTAGTTTTGTGCTATCACCGAACAAACTAAGCATTTACTCAGACAAAGTGTATCACAATGTGCAGTCATAAAATTGTAGGATAAAAGTCAAAACATAAACAGCTAGATGGACTGACTTGGATTTGAAGAATAAATCCTAAAACCTTAACCACCCTAGATCATAATCAAAATTTTACATACACTTAATTTCAGAGAGATATCAAGCAAGACCGCAATTAAACTACCTGCGAAGCAACCGTAGGGTCCACTACTTCTTCATAGAGCCCAGATGCAACAAGAGCTTTTGCATGCTTCACGATTCGGTTTTCTAGTGCATTAAACTATAAAACCAGAAACAAAAACATTTTAGAACATGTACTGAAGTCATGCCAGAGAATCAAATCCAATGCTATGATAAATAATGGATACCCTATCTTCAACCCTGTCATACATGAACCTGCAATTTGGTTCAAGTCCAAATCCTGATCCATGGACTGTCAGGGAGCATCCTTGCAGGGGTAGAACCTTCTTGATGATTGCATCTTCATCATTCTCGCAATTATCTTCCATCTCAGCAGTCTCCTTATCAGGCACATTATTAATGCTGAACCTCACAGCAAATTTTTCTGTTCTTTGGCCGAAGGGTGTCACGTGCTTTGAAGGTTTTCCTGAAGAGAACAAGCCTTCATTTGTGTAAGGGGTCAAATCAAATCGATCCTTGTGGAGGCCCTGAGATTTCCCATTTGGAGTTTTAAGAATGTCTTCCTTTGGATCTTCATCCTCATCATTCAAAATCCTTAAAAGAAAAGTCTTTAATTAACATTTTATAATCATACTTGGAGACATTTGTCAACCGAGTAGGGAAAGTTACTAAATTTTCAACAAGAGACAAGTACCAACTTAGTGATATCATATGTATAATTTATGAACAGTTATTATTTGCTATTTCTGTTATGACAGTAGATGGCACTCTGTTACAATGCCTTAAGCCTTGTAAAATGCCTGTTTATACCAGGACTATAAATTTCTTCCGCACTCAAGGAAATATCTGTTTCACAGTTTAGTATAAATTGTCAAGTGACCCTATCAAAACTGATACAGACAACTCTCATTACCACTATGCCCTTGTTTGGGAAGGAAACAAAGTCAATTATCCATGACGACAAATTGCAACTAGTAAGTCACACTTCAGAAAATTGTTGAGCAGCCAAGTATGTTTAATGACAACAAAATAATTGGGTAATGAATTATAGATGATGAGAAGTAAATGCCCTATACCATTCTACGATGTCTGAAATCTGTTCTTGCTTATGAGGAAAGCAGAAAAATAAATAAACATCGAAAAGATTCCATACATGTCCACATCTTTGCTCGAATAAACATGAAGGTCTGGTTCCTCTTTAATGATTGCTTCTTTTTGCTCATTCTGTAAATGTTGTAAAAACCCATCCATCTGTGCAATTTGTACAATTGACCCATCTAATTGCCTGTCCAAGAAACAATTAAGTTCAAACTCCTTAGAAATGGAGAAACAGTCACAAAATAAAGAACAAAACCAGAATTCCACCTTCAGTACGAGATAATCTCAGACAATCTAGGAATTTCTAAGTGAAGACAAGTCAAGTAGATATTAAACTGTATGTATGGCAACCGGAAAGAAAAAAAAAAAAAAGGTTTAAAAGCAACAGTCACCTGTTGAGATAGTAGACTTCCCAGCTAGAAACTATATCCGAAGGCTTTAGACTATAATTAACACAGAACGTAACACCTAACGCAAAAAGATGGAGGAATCGCTGCGCGTCAGTGGTACCCAGTCATGAAGATAAAACAAACAAAACAAAAATGAGAATTTGAGCTCACATTTATTGAGAATCTCTTCCTCTTCATCGAACGTGAAACCACTTCTCTTGAACTCTTCACCGATCTCGTCATCCATGGCACCTGTGCTGCGGAATCTTAGGGTTTGAAAAGCTCCCGCGGTTGTTCTTTTGATTTGCCAGAAATTGGAGGGAAATGAGAGCTTCACACACTTATATGGGGTCTAAGTCGGTTCGGTTTTTATCAAAACATAAAAACGGCCCGGTTCGGTCGGGGTTTGTTTGGTCGGGTTAGTCGGTTTTCTCTATCATATGTCAACAATTTAACATACATTAGCTTTATATTATCAAATTCTAATTTACAAAAGATTATATTTTTAATTAAAATTTAAAATAATATATATTTATTGTAAAAACTAAATTACTCATAATTTTTAAAAATATCTTTGGACAAGACATTTTTAAATTTAGTTTTTTTAGCAAGAGATTCGAACATCTAACTCCTTGATCTAAAATATAAACATTTGAATTCGTTATATATTCATATTAACAATAAATAAACAAAATGTTGACTTGGAGATCATCTCTCCTAGTCTTGATCTAGCCAGCCCTAAAGCAAGGAAAGGTAGTTCAAAGGGCGGGATAAACTACTTGGAGATCATCTCTCCTAGTCTTGATCTAGCCAGCCCTAAAGCAAGGAAAGGTAGTTCGAAAGGGCGGGATAAACTACGTTAGAATTGATCGTGTAAATTACGTTTGGTAATTCAGTTCAACATTTTAACTAACATCATTTTAACTAACATTTTGTTCGTCTAAATTTGAGTGTGTCATAATAACTCAACAATTAGTTGGCCACAACGATCAGACACTTTGGAGTGACTTCTCAAAAAAATAGATTAATGAAGAAATGAAGAAAGACTTTACTCGTAAACATGTGTTGTTTTAGTAACAAATCGAAGTCAGAAATAAGGCTTAAATTCAATGTAACATCCTAAGCCCACTAGCTAGAAAACATTATCCGGTTTGACCCGTTACATATCACCGTTAGTCTCACGATTTCCACACCCTTATAATAAATGTTTCATTTCTCTCTCCAATTGATTTGAGATCTCACCATCTACCCACCTTGGGGATAGTGTTTTCACTGGCACATTGACTGGCTCTGATATTGTCCGCTTTGTCCCATTACGTATCCCCGTCAGCCTCGTAATTTTAAAACGTGTCTACTAGAGAGTAGTTTACACACTCTCACAAGGAATGTTTTCATTCTCCTCTCCAACCGACGTGAGATAGTACTCACGCATAAAAAAAATAAAAAAATAAAAAAGCTATGAGATGATACGTTGATTTTTCTCAAGGAATATGCTTCAAAGCTCGGTTTGTTGCAGGCTGTTCTTTGGCATCACATCTCAAGGGTGTGTTGTAGAGTGAACAAATGACATCAGAAAAGCGAGGAATTTCTAACATATTTACTCCTGAACATATCAGTTACCAGAAGCATAGACCAGTTCATCTGCATAGTTTAAAAGTCACGAAAACTCGCAACCTCAATCCTCTTGAAAACGAACACTTACTTCATCGACCCCCAATCGCCCGACCCCACGATCTATATCCCATGTGCTTATGAGCCCAGCAAAGTAAGAACGGAAGCATCTCAAGCAACCAAATTAAAATTAAGACAACACTCAAATAACAAAATCACGAATGATCAACTTCGTCGCCTATGCCTATCGGGCACAAAAATCTAGACGAGAAGGGTATGCTTTTTCACAGCTCACAGGTTTGTTACTCATCAATTCTTCATGATATCTTCAATTCCAATTGATCAATCCTCTTGAAAACCAACAGTTACTTCATCGACACCCAATCACCTGACCCGACGATCTATATCGTCCAACAAAGTGAGAATGGAGGCATCTCGAGCAACCAAATAAAAATTAAGACGAGACTCAGATAACAAAATCACGAATGATCAACTCCGTCACCTATGTCTATCGTACACAAAAATCCAGAAGAGAAGGGTATGCTTTTTCACAGCTCATAGGTTTGCTACTCGGAAGGCTCACAATTTCTTCATAAACATCTTCAATTCCAATTGATCAATCCTCTTGAAAACCAACACTTACTTCATCGACACCCAATCGCCCGACCCGATGATCTATATCCCATGTGCTTATGAGGCCAACAAAGTAAGAACGGAAGCATCTCAAGCAACCAAGTTAAAATTAAGACGACACTCAGATAACAAAATCACGGATGATCAACTTCGTCGCCTATACCTACCGTGCACAAAAATCCAGATTTGTTACTCAGAAGCTCACAATTTCTTCATGATATCTTCAATCCTCTCGGCAACTTCATCCATGTTCTTCTGCTTAACTTCATCCAGAAGCAGTTTACATGTAAGGTATCTCGGCTTTATATCTTGACCGATCATCGTCTCAAATAGCTGGTAAGCCCACTCGCACTTATTTGCTCTACAAAGACCATGAATTAAAAGGGAATAAGTTGATATATCAAGACTCAAATGCTGTTTATTTATCATGTCATCCAACAACTTGCTCAAAACATTGTCTGTCTTTCCAGTTCTAAAGCAGGATTTGAGCAATGGGTAATATGTCTGGACATCAGGTTTACAAAGCCCTGATTTCTCCATCTCCCCAAGCAATTTCATAGCCTTTTGTTCTTGTGCACGATGACAGTACATGGAAATCATAGAATTGTAAGTCGATGTATTTGGTAAAACACTCTTGCTCGGCATTTCTACTTCGAATACATGAATAGCTTCCCGTTCTTTACCCGCTCTCCCTAATGTATGGATCAAACAATTATAAAACAGCGTATCGGGTTCACATCCAGCAGATTTCATTCTCTCAGCAATTTGCAAGGCTTCCTCAAATTCTTCTGACTTTGTTAGTGAACACATGATAGTAGTGTAAGTGATGACATTTGCAGGGCATCCTTGAGCATCCATTTCATCAAGCAATGCATAAACCTTACTAAACTTGCAATGACGACAATAAAATAGGATAATCGTTGAATAACTAATGACGCAAGGACGAAAACCATGTCCTTTCATCTCTTGTAACGTCCAATGTGCCTCGTCAACTCTATTGACTTTACACCAACCATGAATAAACGTGTTGAACGTGTTGGCATTTGGGGATATATGGGACTTAAGATCCAAATATATCCGTCGAGCTTGTTCAACCCTCTTCTCTTTGCACAGAGTATCAAGCAGCACATTCATGGATTCAGTGTTCTTCTCCAACCCAAACGTTCCCAAATCATCAAATATTCTCACAGCATCTTCCCATTGTCCAGCACCGGCAAACCTTCGCATAGCCTTAGCCAGAGTATTAAGAGTTACGAGCTGAGCTTCCCTCATTTCTTCTAGCATACCTTTCATCTTGACCATTTGCTTTGTTTTCCCCAATGTATCTATAATAACGTCATACAAATCCGGTGTGTGCTTGAATCCAGAGAGTGACTCTGCCCATCTAAAAACGCCCAAAGCAGACTTCCAATCATCTTTGAATCGTTGGAGCAATTTGTAAACAAGTTCATGGGAGAATTGTATGTGGTAGCACGCTTGATCGTGCAAGAGAGACTGAAAAACTTCATCCTCGCTGCTACCAACCCGAACTTTGGAAATGATCAAATCAATATCCGAAAGTTTTGTCTGATATTCAGATGGTATTATTTGCTGCAAATCTCTAGCACTTATAGAAATGGAAGGTTCCAGCGGAGACGAAAAATTTGCAGAGGATACATGAAAATAAGCAAATAGTTTACAACGATCAAGAACACCACAAATGCTCTTAAGATTCTTCTGAAAACGCAATGACATGAAGCACACCAGCTGAAGAAAGTCCAAGATAACAAACAAACAAACAAACTTGGATTTATTCTTCCGCAGCTAATATAACACAGAAAACTTCAGAATGGAAAAGTTTCTCTTATCCTTGATTGTGTGAAGAGAGAAATTTCGAACTACGGAGTATGCAATTCAGGAAGAATCTCACAGTCCAAAGAAAAGCCTTAGGGTCGAAAATCAGCAATAACCACAATTGCTACAATAAAATCCACGCACCTGTGGAATTCGTAGTCCAGTTTCAAGGAACGTAGTGCAGGTATCTGATATGCAATTCTTCGCCAAATTGAAACGATAAAACAGCGAATTAAGAACTCACAATGAACGAAAACAGGAGTGGCAGTGAGGAGAAATGCGATCAATCAGTCAGAAAGCAAATGAATTCCTTTCAAAATATGGAATTCACAAACTAGGGTTTCCAATCCAGAAAAACAACTTGGACTCGAGTCTCGCGGAGAAGAGTAGGTTTCAGAGAAAATTGCGGCCGAACTCCGAGAAAGATGAACTGAGCAGCATCGATTCTTTAACGTATTTAGAGCCGACATGTCGTTTGATATATATATATATATATATATATATATATATATATATATATATATATATCAAAATTCAAATACAAAACTAAAACTAAATAAGTAAATATTTTTTAAGGGTTGAAAAACTATATTATAATATTAATTTTTTAATTAACATCATAAATATTTTTGTATTTATTATAATATTTTATAAATTATATTAAAAAATTAAAATTATTTGAAAATAATATAAATATTTTATAATATTATAAAGAATGGAGAAAATTCCACTCAATAGCTTTACCGAGTGAAAGAAGGTGAAGGAGAGGATTGAATTGACTCGACTGCACTATTTATTTTTCACTGCTTTATCGAGTATTTGAAGGTGAATGATCATAATTGCTTTAGAGTTCAAGAAGGGAGAGGGAAGAGGATGATATGTTTTACCTTGTTCAATCAGGTTCGAGATTAAAAAAAAAAAAAAAAATCTTTAACTTATTTACCGAGTTGATTCTGTCTTCGTCTTCTTCCTTTGACTTCATTCCCCGACCCATTTACCTCGTGAAATTACCAAACACTTATTTACCAATAAAGTTTAAAAAATCAATGATCTGACAAGGGTGAATGAGGTAAGATCAACCGAGGTTCAAGTTTCTCTTCACTTTTCGTTCCCTTCTCTTTTTTTTTTTTTTCTATTTCTTCGAATCAAAATTGATCGAGAGTCATGAAGTTACTCGAACCTGATCTCCACATATTCCGTGGTGGAGAATTCCTTGATCCCAATCAAAATAAATGAAAAATTTCGCGT